AACCAGGGGGAATATAGGAGTGGAGGTTCTCGCGCGCCACATTTGCCACGGGCCGGTTGATTTACATCCGACGAGCAACCTACCCCTAGCCCTCCCCCTCCCTATCCTCTCGATTTTTACCCGGATCCGCTAATTCCGCTCTCCTCCGCGCCCTCTTCCCGCGCCAATATAGGCGGAGCCTCGTATCCCCCCCCCCTCCCTCCCTCCCTTTTTTTCCGTGGACGAACAAAAAACTATCCTCATATACCGGCCAATTATCATAAAACGGTCCACAACCGACGATAAATTCCTCCCAACGATGGGGATCGATCTCCCTGCGTCTCCGATTCTCCCGGCATACGCCCCCTTAGGGATAGGGCAACAGGAGGCACGAGAAGAAGATCGATCTTCCTTACTCGACCACCACACCTTAACCACGGGCTAACGTTCGACAACGAGCGCGTGGTTTAACGAAACACGGGTGGTCCTCGAAACCTCGAAGTGAAAAGCGAAACGAGAGAAAATGTGTCCAATTTTCTTGAGAGGGGGGGGGGGGCAAAAAGACTCCTCTCTCCCTTCTTTAGAAAGATCGCTCTGAGAGCGGTGGTGAACGAACACGACAAGTTGAACGACCGAGAAGAGAAGAGAAGAGAAGAGAAGAGATCGGGTTAACGCCAACTCCTTTTCGATTCCCTCGAACGCCAGCCGTAGAACGGCGAGAGACAGGAAAGCTCTAAAGAGCAGCGGCGGCGGCGGCGGCGGCGGCGGTCCACAGGCCGATGCTTAAATCACTCCGGTCACTCAGCCTCGCGGCTCAGATTGATGTAAGGCCGTGTTTTACATTCAATTCAATTGGGCAAAAAACTCTGCTATCCGTTCCAGCCTCCCCTGCATTGTGCGCCGCGACTCTCCCTCCCCCCCCTCCTTCCTTCGCTCCTTTCGAGGGAAGCCCACGGTGCAACAGGTAAAACAGGGAGCGCTCGTTAGAACCGTTTCCTCGAGGAATCGGTGACACGAAATTGTCATTATCTATCACGCGGTGAAACTGCCTCCCTTTCTCTCTCTCTCTCTCTCTCTCTCTGTTTGTCTTTCTGTTCGAGTATCGTGACTTTTCCCCTTCGCGGGAGAGGAGGATAAAGAGAGGTGATAAAGAGAGCCTTTAGAGAGAGGAGGAAGGGTTTTATCCCTTCATCTTCGAGAACGGCACCGATGGTGGAAGAACACCCTGTTTCTACTCTTTTCTCTTCTTTTCTTTCTTTGTTTTCTTGCTTTATCTTTTTCTTCCTCTTCTTGTTTCTTTTTTCTCCTCCTTTTTCCTTTGCCCTTTTTTTTTTTTTTTTTTCTTTTCTTTCGACCAGAGTGAGGGACTGCGGCGAGATACCGGCGTGGTATTTTGCTGCTATCGGGATCGAATCTACATAGGCGACATTATTCTCGACGACGTCGTTATTCGGTATGCGGGAATCCACGACGCCGCTTTTGACGTAAATTGCGAGGAGCGCCGGTCACGTTTCTGCTTTATTCCGAGGCAGTTCTTATTGCCAAACAAGGACGTGCAGATATGTGTGCCCGTGCGGCGTGTCGCGCGACAGATCCGCATATCTTTCGGCTGCTCTTAATATCATCCTCAACATCCTCCTCGAGAAACGTGTCACTTAGGATCCCACCGTTTCCCGCTTTTTATCCCAAGAGGCTTCTCGCCTCTTCCTCGCTGCTGCCTGTCGCAATTAAAACTGCCAATCGTTCCAACTATCGATTGTCTGCTTATTTTCTCAGAGAGAGATTACAATTTGCTCCTCTCGGCGCATTCTTAATGAACCTCCTTGAAAATTCATTTTTAATAAAAATTTCGAAAATATCCTCGAAGGAAATTATCTCCATCTCACTTCCCTCGATCTCAAAATCCTCCTTCTAACTATGACAAACACTGTAGCAAACTCCATCGAAAAATTTTTTGAAATAAAAATAATTGTACGATAGAAATCGAAAATAGAAATGCAGATTCAATCCGTATGGAAACGGATCCTTCCCCTTCCTTCAACGAGGTTCGTGGTTTTTCGTGGATGGATGGAACGTTGCCGTAAATTATGCGAAGGCGTCAGTCAGTCTGGCCCTGATCCCTTGCTCTCTTCGATCAGATTCGACGACTGTCCGGCTGATTGGAAAAGAAGAAAGCGAGAAGGACGCTAATTAGTGATTCCGAGAAAGAGGGCCCGTTTCGGGGGATCTGGGTCCGTGGATCAAATCCACGGGTGGAAGGGGAGGAGAGATGGCTCGATAGATCGGGGAGGTGTGAAGGTTGGTGAAGAAGTGTAAAGCATTCGAGAAATTCGTTGAAGAAATCGATAAACCTTTCGATCTCCGCTCGTACGGGAACGCTTGGCATTCCCTCGACTCTTCTTCCTTGATAGAACTCGCGATCGAATCGTCCCGGAAAGAAGACAAACCGATCTGCTCGTCGTAACGTTCGTCGTTATCTTGCGGCCTGGGTCAGTGACGACAACCACGACGATTGGTCGAGTTAGCTAATTTTGCATATAACGGAATGGACCTTTAAAATTTCCAATAAAGAATAAGAATCTTTGCGAATCTTCCTTGATTTGGTGCATTCAGAGATTCGTCTTGATTCTGCGATGAAATTGTTAATGAGAGGATAAATTTGGATCTATTATTTTCCTCCCTTAAAGTCGAATATAATTTCAATCCAATCCAATTCAATCCAATCAAATCCAAACAATAATTTCAATCCAAAGATCCTATTCATCTATCCATCATCAACAGTATGTATATGAAAAAAAAAAAGATAGGTGATAGACAAGAATTTTTATCAATTTACCACCAATCTCTCTACTTATAAATTTTGTTTCATTATCTATTGTCAAACATTCCATAATAAATTCCCTATTTCCAAGTTCAAAGATTCGTTGTCCAAGTTCCACCATCTATATCAGAAAAAGAAAAAAGAAACATTAAAATTTCTGACTTCCAGCTTTATATCAATACTCTAAACTAATTAAACCAATGATACAATTTCTACTTGTATATTTCTTTACTTATCATCAAACATCCCATAATAGATTCCCTATTTCCAAGTTCAAAGTTCCATCATCTATATCAGAAAAAGAAAAAAGAAATATTAAAACTTCTGACCTCCAGTCTTATATCAATATTCTAAACTAATTATACCAAATGATACAATTTCTACCTATGTGTTTCTTCACTTATCATCAAACATCCCATAATAGATTCTCTATTTCCAAGTTCAAAGATCAGCTCCATTATATATATAAAAAAAAGAAGAAAAAAAAATATTAAAACTTCTGACCTCTGGTCTTATATCGATATTCTAAACTAATTAAACCAATGATACAATTTTTACCTGTATGTTTCTTCATTTATCATCACAGATCTCATAATAAATTTCCTATTTCCAAGTTCAAAGATCAGCTCCATCATCTAAATCAAAAAAAGAAAAAAAGAAATATTAAAATTTCCAATCATATATGAACACTCTAAACTAATTAAACCAACGAATATTTCACAATTTCTACCTTTCTTCAAAGACCTCGTAATAGACTCTGCATTTCCAAAGACGAGTGCATCTCCATTCCAGGATCCGCGATGAAATCGTCAAGGGGACGCGTCAAACGCAAGGATGGCACAAGGGAGGCAGGAAAGGGGAGGCTAGTCGTGGACAAGGATTTTCAGGGAGAGGACGAGCCCGGCATGGGAATAAAACAAGGAGGACACTAATTAGCGATTCCGAGAACCGAGAACACGAACCGTGCCACACGGCGCACGGCTCCTCCTCTCTCTCTCTCTCTCTCTCGCTCCGTTGTCTCTCGTGGGCCTCACGGGGCCCGTAACACGGCGTGTCGGATCCAGCTGGAAACCCGTGGCGACGGGATGCACCGGGGACGGGACGAAAGGTCGAGAAGAGAAACCATCCGAAACATTCGGGCCAGCCTAGAGTGTCAACTGGTGGAATGCCTTACCCTTGACCCCTCTCTCCACAACCGCCGCTCGTTACCTTTGCCCCCTTTCTTCCTCCTCCTCCTCGCGAGCCCATATTGTCATCGGTCGAGGATTTCTATCCTCGAGATTCCTCTCCGATCCCCACGATAAACCACGGATCTTTGCCAGAATACCGGTGACACGGTTATATCGACATTTTTTTTCTTTTTTTTTTCGCGAACGCTATTTTCCCGAGAATTCTCTTCAGCTTTCGAAATTTCGAGATTATCACTTTCTTTCGTATCGATCGATTACCACGATGGATTTTATTATATAAAAATTATTTATCTCGAAATTTGCCAATATCTCTACCTATTAAACATTTCTATTTGTTAAAATTTCTTTCAAAAGTTCTACTAACCGTGTCTCGTTTCAGGTTAGAGCGAACAACGTTGACGCATGTCGAGGACGAATCACATTGGACGTCTCGCGACGCTACACGCAGCGCCACGCGTGTGGCGACATCTAGGCTAAGCGTGAAAGCCACACGTGATATCACGAACAAGGAAGCGTTCGAGGGACGGCCCGTCAACCGTAATCAAATCGACGATGATAAAGATAGCCTTTCCCCGGCTATCTTCGATTCACTTCGTTTCGAAGTGGGATCCCCATTATCCCCGGGATCGAGGGATCCGGGCCGCGGGCAGGTCTCTAATCGCGGAAGGAAAAGAGATCCGTGTGAATCGTTTCGAGTAATAGTGTTATCAGACGCGAGCCGTGTAGGACACGATGTGTTTCTGATACCAGTGTCCCGAGCTACCTGAGCCATCTAGGGATGTCCTCGAACCGCTCGCAATTCCGAACAAACGCGAATTAAGATATTGAACGATATTTCATGCGTTAGATGTTACGATCGAATAAATCATCGACAAATCGTCGTTCGGAATACGTGAATTACACGGATATACGTGATATGCGTATTCTCAGAATCATTAATAACTTCTTTCATTGAATAGGTGGAAAAGAAAGAGGGGAGAGGGGACATCTTTTTATGCCGTGTTTTACAATGCGTGTCTCAAGTTTCTAACCAAGCTTCTCAAAAGTTGAAAATGTCGAGTTCCAATTCCAGGTAGAGACGATCTCGTGAGTCAGTGTCGAGTGAAAAGCTGAAATTATCGATGCTTTTTCCTTCCTTTCGAGACTTTTGTATCGATCTGAAAAAAATTGGGATGCGATCCAGAAATTTGTTCAAGCTTTGCAACATGCATATTATAATAATAAGAAAACTGTGGAAAGCTGTTTAAAAATTCGGGGAACAAGAGAGCGGGCGTTGGTGGCTCGTTTATTTCTCTAGGTTAGAGGAGCTCTCGGTTGGAACCTGGCTAAATTCGAAATCCCAAACGAGGCAGGGCAAAACAAAATCGGGCAACATCCGAAAGAGCGGGCAAACACGGGGGACTCGTTTCATTTAATTAAGACTTGTTTTTATTTCTGGTAAACTCGTCCGGGTATTTTAGAAAGCCCAGGCAGGAGATCTTCGATTAATTTATCGTCCTGTCCGCTCGTCGATTTGGATACCCACCAGTGGTTAAAAAACCGTGGAAAACAACCGTGGAAATTGTGTAATTTCATCTCGGTTCCGGATCGAGTAACAGTTGTGCGAGAGGCGTCGTCGATGATGAGTTAATTTTAATTGCCCACTAGAATCTGAAGATCAAAACAGGAAAGAGGAATTTATACATATTAATAAAAAAAATATCGTTACAAACTTGATTGAAATTTACCTTGTATGAGAGAGGACAAACAGGTGTGACGAAGATACATATATAAAATGTCGATTGAAGATTATCCATCAAATATTACAAGCGATTAAATAAAGTGAATCGATGTAGCAGTTAATGTTATAAATTTACATTACAGGAACAGAGATAAAGTCCCTCTCCTTAACACTCTCCTTAACAAAATCATTATTTCGTTCTACAAAAATCTATCCTCCTAAAATATCCTAACCTAAATAATAAATAATAACCTAAATAATAATCTAAATAATAACCTAAAAAAAATATCCTAACCTATATAAACTAACATTTAATCTTATACCTTATCACCTTTAATCCATACTCCTCTTTTTCAATTCAATACTTTTCAAGAACAGAAATGACTCCCTTCCTTTTATATACACCACACCAGCTTTTTACTCAATCTCTAGACAGTTTAATGCCGCGAGTGGTACCGTTTCTATTTATCGTTTAATGCCCCGAGGGTTGCGCGATCTTGTTAATAATAATTCCTGGGCGAACAGGTTGCACAGCTCACCATGTATATAAAAGGGAACTACCGGATTAATAATCACCGATAAGCCTGGAGGAGGGGGACGATAGTTGCGCGCTCGCCTTAATACCCCGTTGCGAAAACCTCTTAAACCTGGGTAATTAAACTTTTAAAAGCCATCCGCTTCGAACAAAGTAGCAATAAAAAAAAAGGAAGGGGGGAGAAACGAAGGAGACGAACGAAAAAAAAAAAAAAAAAAGGAGATTAAAACTACGTGGATCTGAAATTATTAAATGATCGTTCCTTTGAATTATCTATAAATGCGTTACTTATTTCTACTGCTATTATTCTATTATTATTCGTCTCGCAACTATCTCTATATTAACTTTATTTCGAATACCAAAATTCTTCTAGCAATTCAATTGATCGAAAAATAATTATTGGAAAGAGAATATATAAAGTTATAAAACGTTGCGCGTAGAATAACGGGTTCTTCGAGTTGATTAGAAAATCGGAGAAGAATGAACGGTTTAGAGAGAGAGAGAGAGAGAGAGAGGATCGTCTACGAGGAGCGTGAAACGAGCGTGCGAAACAATATCTATCCGCGGCTGGCTTCCAGTTGGACGTGAAATACGTGGTGGAATATCGAGAAAACAAAAGGAGAAAACCTGGGGAGGGGTGGGAGAGAGCCATAGAGGGTGGCGGTTAGCCCCGATTCTGGGAAACGTGTCCTGCCAGCTTGTTAGGTGTCCCCAACAGTTCTCTAATATATGACTGGCACTCTGTACCCTTTTTCGGGGTAGGAGGATGAGGGCTGCGCAGGCCTGGCAACGTTTCCAGCCCAAAACTTTGGTTACCTGGCTTAACTGTCTCTCTCTCTCTCTCTCTCTCTCTCTCTCTCTCTCTCTCTCTCTTTCTCTCTTCTCTTAAAAGAGGAGAGGAACAGTTCCCTTCTCTTGGGTTGATCGACGCATCCTCGACGTAGTATTACGCCATAATTAATGATCCTCCCGCGGCAGAGGTCTATTAGCCATCGATCGATTTGATCGAATAAGCGATGCTTCCTGTTAGACAGAGAGAGAGAAAGAGAAATAGAGAGAGGGAGGGAGAGAGACGAAGATAGAGAAAAAGGAACGTTCCGTGTCTGATTTATACCGATCCTGTGTATGCCCCTTCATTGATTTCCCTCGAATAAATTACCCAACTAATTTACATCGAGATTACGTGTACAGAAAGCTTCGAGTAATTACACAGTGTTCATTTTCTAAGGTGTACACATGTATATATATATCGAGTACATAGGCGATGGACGAGAGGTGGAAATAGCGCGAGGAAGAGGAAGTCCTTTAAGAGAGGAGAGAAAGAGAGAGAGGTCAGCAAATGGAGAAACGCTGAATCGATCGATCATCCAAGGAAATCGATCAGACCGGGACTCTCTGATGATGTCTAGTCATAACACCATTGTTTCAATGACCCGCTGCCCCGCCCGGTAGGTGGCAACCAGCCCCTCACATACTAATGAGCCGACCAGTTTCGAGCATCATCAACGAAGAAACGCGATGAGAGATGAGGTGTTGAGAAGCGGCTTTTATAATGCGGTTACACCTGCTTACCTCCCGTTTACTTGGTCGATTAAAAATCACGCAAGCAAGAAAATGGGGAAATGATTCGAATGAATTGAAAAATCAAACTCTTAATTTAAACGAATGGGAGAGTAATTGAAATTTGTTCGTGAATCAAGGTGTTGCCGTTTGAGAAGGGAACGAATCGGTGGAAACATTAGTGGGAATTTTAAACATTGGAAAAGGAACGATGTAGAATGATGTAAAATGGGGATAAAGATCACAAAGATGCGAAAGATCAAAGACTAAAAGTCGAGAGATTAATCATAAAGAGGTATCCTTTAACTTCTTGGAAGCTATAAGATAGGAAGAGTAAAGAAGAATCGATATTAACCTCAAAAAGAAGGAAATATAGAAATGTATTTAAAGATTAAAAGCATTATTCATCAAACTAAATAAAAACCCTTGAATTCCAAAGCAATGCTAACTCCAAAAATCAAGAAATCCAAGACTAACTTACTTAAACACTAAAGTCCAAAGCATTACCCATATATAAATACCCATATATAAATTATATAAAAATTGAATTTCAAATCGATGCTAATCTCAAAAACCAAGAAAATCTAACTTCTTCGAAACCTCGAGAACGAGGTAAGGAAGGTATGGAAATCAACGATCCAGCGACGTTTGTCGAGATGAGGCGTGAATGAGGCGCTAACGATCGACGTGATTATCGGTGTGAATCCGTGGCAACACGCGTAAGAGCGGTTACGGAGCCGGGTTACGGGTTGGGGCCGAAAGCTGCGTGTGGTGGCAAATAATCAGGCGTGTAGGTGAGGATGTCCATCAATCCCGGACCTCCCGCGACGTTTCTCATCTTCTCGCCGAGCGACGTCTCTCCCCGACACCGTCCTCCTCCTCGAGGGACTTTGGCCACGCTTCGGGAGAGCCGGTGCAAGATTGATGCGCCGTTTTTCGACCGTTTCGTGCCCCTCCATCTTCACCATCATCACGGCTCTGATGGTTGCGTCTTTGCTCCAGCCCGTAAGTACCTTGGAACGAGAGAGAAAATTGAGAATTATGAGCGAGAATTTAGAGTGATATATAATATGAAACGAGAAGGAAAGAAATATAAAAGTGAAGTTTGTGATATACAATTATATATACATAAAAATCTCAACAAACTTGTTCAACAAACCTCTGACAATTCTTCCTTGCAAAACTTTCCAATAACGTGTATACTAACATTGGAGTTTGAGAAGAATTATTACATAAATTTCCATAGGATCTAACGAGCAGATTTAGAGTAAAGATTCGTCGGAGCAAAGAGAGGATGAGGAGGAGAGGTGGCACACACGGGGATTATCGCCGGTCAATTGGATACGCGGCTGTAAAAGTGAAATTACAGCGGGCAGGATGGGAAGTCGGTGGGAAGAGAAGGAACGGGCATAATGCGGGCCTGAAAGTAGACAATGGACACTTACGGGGCCGGGAATGCGATAACTTTATACGCGATCGGGGTTTCGCCAGGGCGGGGTGGAGGGAAGGCCGTGGCAAGGAGGCGTGGAGGATCACGATTTACCCATACAAAATCGCGGCACGTATGCCGCCACGGCGAGTAATCAAACCCATAAATCCGAGGCATAAGCAACCTCTGACACAGATTCTCTTCCCCTCTCTCTCTCTCTCTTTCTCTCTCTCTTTTTATCGATTGGCCCGCCAGTGGCTTGGCCGATCGCAGCCGATAAACACCGCTCGTTCGCACTCGATTTCCTTGTAATTATCGCTTCGATGCTCGGGTGGACGGTGCTCGAATTCCTGGTGCTCAAGTTTCTTTCCTGACGATTCAATCTCTCCACCGGATAGTAATTCCACGCAGGTTCTCGAGAAATTCTCTTTGGTTGTTCGAGCTTGTTCCCTCGTCGTTTTCAGGAGGATACTTTCTGGAATAATTATTCTTTAATTAAAGAAAGGAAATTGCAGAAGGTAGGAGGAGACATCCCCTGGAGGTGAGAAACGCGACTTCGCATCACGCTCGGGACGAGTGTTGGCCGCGTGGTTGGGCGTGGTGATGCACGACCACCTATCGAACTGTTCTATCGCTAATAAATCCGTGCCTCAACTAGAATCTGCCTCGAGTTATGCGAGGATAACTCGTCGAAAAAAACTTTTGAAACTCTCGTGTGCAACTCTTTTCAGAGACGAGTTCTCGAGATCTCGTCTTATTCATCCTTGAAGGAATGTTTCAAATGGTAAAAATTGGGTTTTTGATTTGGATTTTAACTTTTTATTCGAACGTTTTCCAAATTTTACGATTTATCTTTAGAGACTTTATTTTTGAATTTCTGAGATCGATAAACTGTGGCAATAATGGGAAGAAAAATTCTAAGAAGAAAGATGCACTTCTGATTTATATTCAATTTTATATCAAAGACTTTATTTCTGGATTATTTCTTGAATGATAAAATTCGTAAAATTTGTAATTTATAGTATAGTGAAACTTAATTTCTCCAAAAAGAAAGATCTTGAATTGCACATTCGATAGTATGGAATAATTCTAACCTCTCATCGAAAGATTTTTTAGTTTAATGATTATAATAGTATATTATATATCGAAAATTTTATTTTTGAATTCATTTCGAGTCGTAATAACTAACAAATCCCAAAAACTCTCTTCTATAAAAAAATTATTCCAATACCTTTGAACGATCCTAATCTTCTTATCTGAAACTTTTTCCACTTTCACTCGTCAAAACCGTTTATCGAAGATATTCGATTTTCGAATTCTTTCTAACTTAGTACATCGATAAACCGTTCCATGTCGCGAAAGTCGCGGATTTAGACTGGTGCTACCATCTATCGCGTAGCGAGGAAACCCTTTCCTATGCCGCCTTCCCATGAAGCGTCAATAATTTTTAATAAACTTACCATTGAATCAGCCACGCTCCACTCGAAATTCCGATTCCTCCCTCCACGTTCGTTCCAGCATCGACTAAAACAGACGGTGAACAGAAAATTCATTAATACATTTTGTCGACTTCGTGGGGGATGTAATTTAATGTTTATGCTCGATTATTCCATGGTTTCGAGAGTCAGGACAACCGGTCCATCGATTCGACCGATTAAAAAGCAGGGAGGCAAGAAGTCCGATTGGTGGATTTGTCATTGATTCCTGGCAGGCATCGGGCCAGGGTAGCACACCAGCTAGGAAGTGGCCCAAGCGTTTGCCAGGACATCAATACTTGCACGCCGCGGTACATTATTCGTCGATAATGTATCTGGTCCAACAAGAGGAGTTTTTGCCGGAAAATAAATACTTCTTCCCCGATTCTTTTCTATTCGTTCGCTCTTCGATAACTTTGTAAAGATACATCCAGTGTATGAAAAAAAAATAAAAAAAATAACGCATCTCCAATTTCTTTCGAATCGAGATGATCGATATACTTGAGAATAATAAAAAATGTGTTTCTTTTAACACATCATATTTTCTTTAAGAAAATATTTTTTTCCATTACTGAATAATCGATAAGAAAGAATTTTTTCCACGATCTTTAAAAATTAAACTCTCATTAAACGACGTAACGATGTACGTCATATTTTGAAAGATCGTAAATACAATTTATCTCTCTTCTAAAAACGTTTTTATTGTATCGAGTAAAGAAAAGCAATCGCGAAAAATAAATACAAGATAAAGAAAGAGGCAGATGTTCCGGTAGCATGGGCCACTTCCGCCTCGATATTGCCCATGGGACCAAGATTGCCGATGGCCGTTTATCGCGGCAATTTGCGGGACAGTTCGTAAGAAACTTGGGGCGATTGTCCCGCGGGCATTAATTGGCTATATTATACCGCGCTTGTGCGCAAGGAAATCGAGCGTGACGATCAACCAAGACGATCTGCTCGCGCGCGTACCACGCATAACCGTGAAGATACCGGGAGGAAAATAATTTCGCCAATAGTACGCGTTCCAAGACTAACATCTCTCGAAGGGAGGAGACTTTTGAAATTTTTTTTTTTTTCTAAAATCGCCGTTTAAAATTCCGGAAGTGCAATTCTGAATCCGAAACTGATCTAAGGTTCTCTCCACTTTTCTCGAAATTTACGTTACGATCAATTGTCATTATTTCGATCATCTTTATTATTTAATTTTACAATTAATCGAATGTTTAGAAAAAATGAAATTGGCCAAACTTTTGACTTCACAAATAGAAATTAGGCTAAAACCTAAGATCAATGTTACAAATGAACGAAGAAGAATTTAGATTGACTCTCCGATACAAAATCCTCACCATTCTCCTATTTTTTTCCTAAAAATATATTCGCAAGTTTTCTATTTTCTTTCTCACTTTAGCCACCAGACAAGACTCTAATTCGAGCGAAACTTAAAAAACCACTATCCATGCCACTCTATCAAAATATCCCAAATCCAAATTTCCCAACAATCCACACTTTTCAACAATTTCCAAATGAACGAGAACGAGAACGTAACAAGTTAAACGGATCCACTGGTCTCGTAAGAAGTCGAGAGGAGAGATAAGAGGGTTCAGAAGGGGTTTGTTGGACCCGTTCGGCTCGCGCGCGAAACCACCATTAAGCCGAGGCGATAATAAAAGCTCAGGTCGCGCGGATCGACCCGTCATCCTGGGTCGCGTGCAAAAAATACGTTAATTCCGCGGAACTTGCATGACCGTGCAAATAAATAAAAGAGCGGAGCCACACATCGGGCGTCGTCGTCGTCGTCGTCGTCGTCGTCGTCCTTGTCGTTCCGTGGCAGCGTATTTTATATTTTATCCGGTTCGAATGATTGATCGCGTTCTCGGCCGGCCAACGCGATACAATCTCGCGGAATGCCCCCGGTGTACTTGTCGTTTCACGCATTGTTTATTATTGTCCGATGCTTTTATCGTGATCCACGGTTGAACCGTGCGCGCCAATTCCGTCGGAAAAAGAAACGAGAAGCTGCACTCCCCTTCCCCTCCTCCCCCTCCATCCCCCTTGTTTCTTTTTTTTTTTGAGATATCCGAAAATTCTCTAAAAAAGAGAAAGTTTAGAAAGTTTATTATGAAGATTTTTAAGGAGGATTGCGATACGATTTTTTGTGAGAAAAAAAAAATAAAAGGAGAAGCTGAGCTCTCCTCCTTCCTTGTTTCTTTTTACGTTTGTTTTTTTCTTTTTTCTTTCTTTCTTTCTGGAATGATATGAGATAATGCTGCTGAGAGAAGCTGCGATGTCTTCGAGGATTTCCCAAAAAATGGATAGTGGAGGTTTATTTGAAGATTTTTTTTAAGGAGGATTGTTGTAATTTTATAAAAAAGAAAAAAATAGAGGAGAAACTGCGCTATCTTCTTTCTTTGTTTCTAGGTTTGTTTCATATTCTTTTTCCTTTCTTTCTGAAATTGTTTTTTTTTTAATTCGTCGTTGGTGAAAACGATGTTGCATTTTATATGAAAGATAAAGGGGTGATGTCTAATTTCCAAGATTCTCAAATATTTTTTCTAAAATTCTTTTTGAAATCGTATTTCGAAATTTTTAATGACCACTGTTACAAGTTTATGTATTTCTTTTTCCTTTTTTTAGAAATTGGCATCTCTTGGTGAAAACAATATTGTATTTTATAAAGATGAAGGCGATATCTAATTCTCAAATTTTTTTCTAAAATTCTTTTTTTAATAATTTTTAATAACGGCTGTTCCAAGCTACGTTTTTTTTTTCCTTTTTTCTATTTGATGAACACAATGTTGTATTCTGCAAAGATAAAAACTGTATATACGTAATACTCGTTCTAGGATTATATTCGATTTCTACTTCATTCCCCTCATTCGAGTATTCTCATATCCTGTTTCTCCACGAAATTTTCGAATTGAAAAACGAGTTTTGTTATATTTTACATAAAATAAAAAAAGGATAACGAAACGCTGCGATGTTTGATCCACGTTCATTTTATAAAAAAACAAATCAAAATTATCGCCTATACCTGATCCATCTTCCTTCCCATAACACTTTTATTTTCCGAATAAAAAACCGAGATAGACCATTCTTTCTCTTCTGCTCAATTGCTGTTGGAATCCGTCCAAAATTTTTTTGAAAATAACGAGACGAACGAAATTAATGGTGGAAATGGTGCGCGCGCGCATGCGCGCGGATACATCCGTCGCATTGCACGCATTGTTGGGTTCTCGAGGCGAAGAATTTTATTTCCACGTTCCATTTAAGCATTGACATTGGAAGAGGAGGCAGGAGGCCGAAGGAAACCGAAGGGTGAGTCGTTGTCGTTTTTGGCACGAACCGGAGTAAAGAGGGAACGATGGGTATATACGCGAGAGGAGGATAGTAATTACAGAAGCGGGACTGAAAACGCGGGGTTCCATCAGACCCTGCGAGGCACGATCCTCGATAAGTATAGTTGTTTCAGGATCGCGTCGATGCCTCCCTCTCTCTCTCTACTCCCGCTATCTCATTTTATTGGTACAGGTTACGTGAAAAATTTATTGGCTCCGCGCCGTTCCTCGATCGTTCAAGTATACCCACAAAGATAGAAGAGAAAACCACGACCCCTCGTGGCACGTCGATCGTGCAATTTTAGGAGGAGTTATCCAAGATCATTAGACTCTCTTCGATCGTTTCCTCGACAATTTCTTTCTCTAAGCTTTCTTCCTTTCTTCCTTCCTTTCTTTTTTCCTTTATTTCTTACGCTAGTTCGTCTACGCCCGTGTTATTATTTCGAGATCGAGAAATTATTTTATAAATGGACGATTCGAGAATGTTTTTTCTTTTCCACGATAGAATAATATTCTCGTATTACACAACTGTAACAGCCATGCGTTATTCCTCTTCTCCGGCGAATGAGCTTGATCACCGGCACATGACTACCCCCTCATTATCCTCGATACAGTTTTGCCTCGCTCTTTTTTTCTCTCTCTCTCTCTCTCTTTTTCCGTTATTTCATCTTTAACCTTCATCTCCAACCAGATGCAAGGAGATCCAGAAACGGTAAAATTTGTTTAACTAACGTAGAGATTAATAATAATTTATTTTGGAAAAAATAAAGTCGATCGAAATAATTTCTAACCTCTTTTTTTCGTTCGATTATATTCCATATATTAGATTAGAAGGAGGATCCATCCTTCACTGTTCGAGGGAATCGTTAAGATGTAATAAAATAAGATATAATAAATAATCGTTACAGATGGCAAGATGGCGGAAAGAAGAGGGAGCGGAGGTTCAAGGGCGAGGAGAGGAGAGATCCACCTTCACCCAGGTTCAAAATATTCGTTGGGCATAATGACGAGCGGTGAGCGCATCGTGATGGATGATACTCGGTGTATCTTGTATCACGGTATCGCGGCTACCACTTGCTTATTAAACTGTTCGGTATTCCTCGGTGGACGGGCGCAACACTGCCGACCACTTGCCCCCACGAACAACACGAGTTTCCAAGGGGAGGAAGGAAGATCGATGCTCGTCCCGCCACGGACCGAAACTTTATAATAAATGTCATCTGCTACCGAGGTAGCAGCCTTCTCCGACTCGTTATAAATCGCTACCGTGCGCTCTCCGTCCGCTCTCTTTAAGGGCCGAAAAATTATCTGATTCCCTGGAACCGTCGACTGGGCCCCGCAGCTATCACTCTTAAACTTTATACTTTACGTCTCCTTTTGTATATTCGTGATCCATATTCATTTTCTTCGTGGAACAAGGAACGTGATGAGTTTTGAGTAATAAAACTTCTCTTCTTTTTTTCTTTTTTGTAGCTTTTCCGAAAAGCTTTCTCTTCTCCCGGAAAGAAAAAAATTCTTACGTATTTTTAAATGATTTTCAGGAAGATCTTCTTTCTCTCGTCGATGAAGAAATGTGAATTTAGTTATTTTATAAATATAAAATAAATAAAGGATAAATAAATTTTTTTTTAATTTTTTTGTTTTTTTTTTTTTTTCCTTTTTATCTCTAACAAATTTTTCTAAACTCTGCAATTCCAAAAGAAAATTTTATATCTCTCGCGAGGAAGCGTAGCATAGCGAACAATTGGGACTGATAGTATGCTTTACTATTGCAAAATAATTTCTATGGAACGCAAACTCGATGCTCGAAAAAGAAGAAGAAGAAGAAGAAGGGGAAAAAAAAGTCCGTGGAACGAGCTGCGAGAGAATCGACCGATAGTTTTCTGTGGACACCCGGTACGAAACGGATGATTGCGCCTCGCGAACGCAACAGATCGCTACGTTATTATTTTCGCCAGTTATCGAATTAGATGTTGGCTTAACGGCTACGTACGGCGGGTCCCCTTCCACCCGTTTCATAGGCGTACATACACCGCTCTTCTTTATCGTGTGATAGTAACGAGAGCATCAAACTTTAGAGATCTACTTAATTCAATTCCTCTCAATGATGATTCGATTTCTTTTTTCTCTCTCTCTCTCTCTCTTTCTCCTCCGTACGAGAGATCCAATAACAAGATCCGAGAACGTTCTTCCTGGATGAAAAGATATATTCGAATCAACTGTGTGTGTATCGAATCCGGATTCCGGGTTCATCCAAAAATTGCTCCTAGTTACTTTTTCCTTATTGTAAAAACTAGCTAGAATTCCCCAAGTCTCGAGATAAAGAACGATCTCGAGGAAAAGATTCTCAAAGATTCGCAAACGAAGGAAGGATCAGAGAAAATTCTTCTAGAATGAATCGTTTCCTGGTGGTTCCACCTAGGCGGAAATTCATCAATCGGGCCGGGATGATCCGGTGCCGGAAGAAAAGGTAGGAATCTATGATCGCGGTCGGCTCGTGCTCACGGCGGACTTTTGCATCGGCTGGACGCGGCTCAATTTCCTGGTCGAGTTGTAAATTATGCCGATTCCAGATCGCACCACGGACGACGCCCATGGCCTCTTCTCTCGCGCAAGATCTTCTCGTCCTCTCCTCTCCCAACGCACGCCTCCTCCTTCTCTGTCATTCCGTCGTCCCAGAATCTTTCCATCGACTTATATACAATCTTCTCTCTCTTTCTCTCTCTCTTTCACTCTCAACACGGACACTTCCCATGATTCCCTTGGATGGCTCCAACCACGAAGATAGGGGCATCCCCGAGATTACGGCTCACTCGTTACTACCTACAACGTACTTACGTTACTTTTAGAACTGCTTATTACTGTGATTACCGGCGCATAATGCGACGACCGAGCGTTCTACAATTTATTATTGAATTGCTATAATACGGGCTCCACGTTCTTATGTGTGTACACGGCGTACGGGAAACGTACGGGCTGCGAAATCTCCGCTCCGATAACCACCCTGTCGTCCCTCCTAAAAAGAGATGAAAATACGCGTTGTGTACGCGAAAACTTTTCCCTTCCTTTCTCTCTCTCTCTCTCTCTCTCTTTCCTCTTCCCTATCCTTTTCACATTTTTTCACATCGCGACCGGGTTAAATAACCCGAGAACCCGAGAAACCGAGACGAGGGTGAACGTAAGAGGTTTCGATAAAGGGAAAGGAAACGGTGTCTCCATTAACGTTTTTTTTTCTTTTTCTTTTTTTTTTTTTTTTCTTTTTTTTTTTTTTTTACCAACGCCTCGTCTAAATCGCGAATTTAACGTGGCACGATTATCTTCCACGTTCTTCCTCGAGGTCACCGTGCACGGTCCTCGCCATTAACGCGGCCGGTTGGATACGCGGCTTTGCGAGAGAAAAATATATACGTTCGTACCTTTAAGGTAAGGTTGAACTTGACCAACCATCGAGCGACTGGGCGAAATCGTGGCGTTATTTTTATCAAAACGATTTTCCTCGGGAAATCGGATCGAAGAATGACGATTTTTCGAATTTCTAAAAGTTCTAAGTTCTAATTCGAAGCCTATAATATGTTGCATATAATTTATCCATATATAATTTTAAAACTAGGAATGGGATACTCGAAGCTTCCAGAATCCATTACAACAATTTAAAAAATTCTATTATGTTATTATTAAGAATCTCGGTTTGAACATTTGAGAAACAAAGATCGATGATCGTTAAGATTTTCGTATTCTTAACGAAATCTCCTTACCTAAGAAAAGAAGAAAAAAAATATGCTTCTCGAGAGTTTCGATATCCCATATAAAGTTTCAATTTCGAATTTCGTAGATATAAAAAATTTTAGAATTTTAATTGAAACGCATTCAAAAATAGACGTGTGTCCATCTATATCTATATATCTATAGTGATCTATAGTGCCAACCAGCAGATTGTTCAACGCATAAGGATTTTTTTTTCTTTCCTTAAAACGTGAAATGCGGAAGAGCATCGCCCAAGGCGGTTCGATCCACACACATACGCGCGCGCACACACATACACACACACACCACACATGTACACGCACAACGCTTGTTGAGCCTGCCTCCGGTCAAATCACCGGTCTCTGCCTCTTCTATCCCCCTATTTCGACCCTGTTCATTGTTGCATTCGTGCATGATTGGGCACGAGCTTCGCGAAATAACACATTTAAAAGGAAACCCGGACCACGCACCATTTCTGGAGCGGTAATTCTGTCCCGATAACGTTACACGTTGCACGGTAATATGTACTTACCTCGATCGACCAGGCATTAACATATCTGGTTACCTTTGCCTAGCGTGAAAATACTTCATGGTATCCGTTGTTGGTTTTTCTATTTATTTCGAATTGGATGATTTTAAGTCCATAGTTTTAACACTTGATGTATCATGATTGATTATAAAAGTGATTTGTAAATAGATTCAAACTTATGCATTTTTCGATATTTGTGACACAACGTTGTGATAAAATTTTTCGAGGATTTTTTTGTTACGAATTTTGGTGGAAATTCATTTTTTCATATTCTTCGTTGAAACATAGAATAGGAAAAATTAAAAGAGAAAAAAAAACAGTTGAATTCCAATTTTTTCAATTTATCGTATTTATCCTATTATTCCTATTAAAAATTATAAAAAAAAAAGTGATTGAACGAATATTGATTACACAAATTGAATCGTTCATGCTATATGTATTAAGAAATAGAAACGGATCAACTTTCCCCTACTTATAAAAATCATATATAATAAACATAAAGAAAAAAAGAGAAAATATGTATAATCACAATTTGTGTAATTTCTATAATTTAATACAATAAAAATAATTAATAGCATCTAATATTCTAATAAATATTACAAACGAAATTTAAAATGGATAAATCAAATACTATGTTTTCTATGTCTAAAAATTCTAGAAAATCGCTTTATCATTTTAGTGTCATTCTCAACCTTACCGATTACCGAGTACAGAATAAGATTATAATATTCGTAGTGGTTAGAATTAGAACTAAATGAAACTATGAATACAGATAAATTATTATATTTATATTATCTATGACACTTTTATTCAACGAAAAAATTAAAAATCAATTGTTATTATGTTTGTAGAAAGCAAGTTAAATAAAAAAAATTTATATACAAATATATTGTTTAAATCAACAATTGTAATTTTTCTACGACATTCCAAAAATATTCCAAAAATGGTAAATTTTAATAAATTAATAACAATAAATATTTTATATTAAAATATTTATTCAAAATTTATAAATAATTATATACGATGTTATATCGACACTGACGGATACCTATTATTCTTATCCATTGAGCTATATTTACCTAATAGAAGAAAGCATAATTTCTATGACTGCCTTAGTATTTAGATATATCGAAACTATATGTATTCTTATACAATTTCTTATACAAATCACATTTAAAATACATATTTTATATATAAATATTCTAAAATATGTATATTCTGTTCGTGAATATTTTAAAATACGCATGTTTTATTCCGAAAGTTATGTCGGTAAGTTTTTTAGCTACAGTAGACAGTGGGTCAGCTAATGGATAAGTTATCTACAAGTGATAAATCATGTTTTTTTATATGAATGCTTTATTTAACTACGCATGGAACAAACTAATTTATATTATTTAATATATAATTTATAATTGTATTAAGGATATGATTATGAATAATAATGATTTCATCTTGTAGAAATTATTGCAGATTGGAGATCTATTCTATCCACATCTCATCTATCCTTTTTTAACGAAAAAATCTACTTATTTTCAAATAAATTCTTTTTTTTGCGTGCATTTACACATTCAAATTTTTTATCATTATGGAAAACAAGCTATTGCGAAAGCAAATCTATTATTTACAATAATTTACCTTCATTTTTATAAATAAAAAAATTAAAAACTTTATAATAATTATATCTTTTAAAAATAATTAAAATCTTATCATATTTGCATGAAATTTATCAAAATTTATTGTCTTTTAATCGTATAGATAAATTATTATATTTTCGAAACTATCTTAATGATAATTTGCATAAATAAAAATTAAAACCGTAAAACATATATTTAAAATAAAAATTATATTAAATTAAAATAACAATAATTTAAATCTGATTTAAAATATAAATTTTATAATACAAACTTTATAATACAAATCATTGCTAATACGTAATATGTAAATACGTAATACGTAATACATAATACGTAAAACGTAATACGTAATACGTAATATGTAATACGTAATACGTAATACGTAAATACGTAATACGTAATTTGTAAAACGAAAAAAAGTTTAAAAGATTATTTAATTTTGATAATAATGCTTAATAAATGATTAAACAAATTCATACGAATTAAACAAGGCTTTATTATACTAGTAATAATATATAAATTATAATAAAATACCTTATTAATAAAAATTTTCTCAAATATACTTCTAGCAATGTAACACATCCTCTCGCTACGAATTTCAATAACAGACTGACGCCATGCGTAGAGAATGATTTCGATTGGCTCGACCTGCGCGGTTTATTATTGTTTTGAAACCGCGTGAAAATTGATGTATTGCGTTATATATATTCCAATAGTTATTTATATATGTTCGAATAGTTAATTTCTATAATATTGAAATCCTAGGAAGACATATTTATTAAAAATGTAATAAAAAAAGATTATTATTGTAAATATAATAAAAATAAATTATTAAAATTAATTTATCATGTACAATAAAAACAGTAACTTTCTGATTGGTTAGAATTACGCGGTTTTTTTTTTTTCTTTTAAAACCGTATAAAAAATTGAAATATTGTATTTTATAATATTTTGTAATTTATTTAATTATTGTGAAAATATATGTTATAATATCAAAATCCTAAAATCATTTATTGAAAATATAATAAAATTATTTTAACATATTTTATTATTAAAATTATTAAAATTAATTTAACATATAAATTAATGAATTGGAAAAAGTTAAAACATATAAAAATGTTTCGTAAAATTTGCATTATTTAAAAAAAGGCAAAACGAAATAAAATTTTAATATTCATATTATAATAAATAAATTTTTGAAATTTATTATAATAAACTAAACGAATTTTAAATATATTATCACAATATTTAAAAATATATTGTAAAAATAAAATAATAATTTTATTATTATAATAATAATTGATAAATAAAATATTAAAAATAAAATATTAAAAATTAAAAATTAAAAATATATTTTCTGTCATATATTTTATTTATAACTTTATATTAAAATTTAATCCAATATGCATATCAGAAACGTTACTTTTTTAAATGAATTCGGTATTACGGAAACGCAAAGTTCTATAAAATGCTATCATAAATAAAATGAAGATTAAAGTAAAAATATAAATTTATTTATTATTTTCAATATCATTAGGAGAAGTATTTATTTTAATGTATTTATTTTAATGTATATTGTTTTGTGTTAAATGCAATTTTTCTGTGTAAAAAGTCTAACCTAACAATGTAAATAGAAATCATTTCTTTTCAGAAATATGTAATTTTCATAATACTGAAAGAGTTTTCAACTGAGACTATTGTGGATTCATATTTAGTGAATTAAAAAATAAATAATAAAAATGCAACGAACAAATTTACCTATTGTATCAATGCAATTAGATTCTTCTATTGCGATAAAAATAAGTATGGGTGGATCAATGTTTCAAGAAAGGACATTAATGGGTCGTTCAGATGTATGGCACAAAATTAAAATTTTAAAAGGAACTGAATATGATAAAGAAACAGTATTAAAAGCTATATTAAATGCTATTGAACCAGCAGAATTGATCCCTGTGAAATATCAAATCAATGGAGAAGATACTTTCTTTCTGGCTCGTAATTGTGCTCATGCTCTTGACAAACTATGTAAAACTAATTTAATAATCAAAAATCCAGAAGGAGATCCACTGATCTTAATTGTTACTTTAGGATTTGCATCCATTCATGATCTGAAAATTAATCTTCAACCTTTACTTCTGACTGCTTTGACTAAAAAATATGATCCTAATAAAAAAACTCTGGATCTGGAAGAATTTCATAAAGATCCTGACATGTCTAAAATTGCTTATTGTCCGTTATCCCAACAGAGAACTTTTAATCATGTTTTAAAATTAACAAAGACTGCAATTGCCACAGTAGAACACTTAAATCTTCAGAAAAATGAATTGTTCAATTTAACTCCTATAGAAACTTCTAGTTTGACTTCCATAAAATATTTGGATTTGAGACATAATAATTTAATTGCTATGGAAGCACTTACCCCTTTAAAAAATCTCTGTATACTGAAATTATGGCTAGATGGAAATCCTTTGTGTGAAAATTATTGTACTTCAAAGCAATATATAGATTCTGCAATGAAATACTGTCCTAATTTAATTCAATTGGATGGAGTTTATATTAAAACATGTGGCTTACCATTGACATATATTAATTATTTTAAAAATGAATCCAGAGAAGAATTAGTTAGCAAATTTATTAATCATTTTTTCAATCTGTATGATCAAAGTGATAGAACAGTTTTAAGAGGATTATATTATAAAAATGCATTTTATTCTATGAGCTTTGGAATTCCATCACCTATGGCTCATAAAAAAAATTTAGTTCAATTTACAGCAAATAGAAATTTATTAAAAACTGCAGACCTAAATAAGAAACGACAACATCTTTATTATGGACAGGATAATATTTTAGGTGGTTTAAAAAGATTACCACGATCCTATCATGATAGAAAATCTTTTGTATGCGACTTGATATTCGACGATAACAAATGTTTAGTAATCTCGATTTGTGGATTATTTAAAACTATGAATAATTCGTCACAAGTTCTATGGTTTAATAGAACGTTCATTCTCCAAGCTGGCCCTGATCATGAATACAATATCATAAATGATCAATACTATGTAAATGCTACTACAGAAGAAATATCACCAAATAGTATAGAAACAAAAATTTCTTACGACGAAATCGTACCATCTTGCTTTAGCTCGAGTGAGAAAAAAGAATTATTGAATAAATTTACAGAAATAACTTCATTAAACAAAGATTGGTGTCAAACATATTTAGAAGAAGCTAAATGGAATATAAGAAAAGCGATTTCAAATTTTATGAAGGATTATAAATCTTCGGCTATTCCTGCTGAAGCATTTTCAAGATAGTATTGCTTTTTAGGTTAATAATGAAACTGTAAATATAGAAAATATATTAACTTATAGATTTTTTATTTTTTAAAATGAGATACTCAATTTAATGCTTTAAAAAAAATATATATTTTCTCAATTCGTATTCGTATTATTTTGTATTATATATTAATATTTATTAATAATTTAAATATAATTATCTGATAAATACACTCTATTGTTAACTTGAAACTTTGTTCAATAGATGGCACCATAATATGAATTCTGATATAAAATAAAATGTAAATGCATCTTATTTTATGAAATACGTTATTAAGAAAAATATAAAAATATAAAATTCATCTACAATAAACTATTTTGAATTTAATATATTTTTTTTTATTTCTATAAATATTAAAATAACCTATATAATTCACATTTTTTTATAATTTAAATTTAACATTCATATAAAAACGGAATCTATCAGAATTTCTAGTTCAACGCTATAATAAGAAATGATATGGCTTCGATAGAAAAACGTGATATCCTTGACAGAAAAGAATTTTTTCTCTCAAGTAATTCTATGTTAGAATACATTCAATACCACCATAGATCAATGAGCGTGCCGTGATGTTACTCGTCTGGCATTTAACAAAACCCGGAGGATGTTCACTGACTTCATCAAAAGGTTATACATTCAAGGATTATATTGATTGTGGGAGACAAGTGAATGAATCAAAACATTTCTATTCCCTCTCTTTTTAAATATCGTTAATATTATAAATTGTTTATCTAATCCTTGGCTTAAATCATATTTTACATTCTTTGAATGCTAAATGATTCTTATGATAGAATATAATTGGATATTTTAATAAAAAATCTAAACATCATAAAATATTATTCTTGTAAAAATATTATTAATCTTATAATTAATTCTAGTAATCGATAAATTATCGTGAATTCCTATAAAAACGTATCCATGTCAACAGTAGCAAAAATGACAATCTATTGAATTAACATGAACGTCTACAAAGCAAATAAAACTGTGGATGAATGAAACTTTGTATGTGATTTATAAGTTAGAAACTCTTTCAAAGCAAGATTTACCACGCTTAAAAGGTTACATGAAAGATGTTACTCATGAATAAGATCATTTTATAATGTACTTTTTACTTAAACAATATTTCAACTACTTATTTTTACTGTACGTAAAAAATTTCTTCAAATTTAAAATGCAGAATATAAAAGTAATTTTGTTTCTCTTCTCTCAGATTTACTGGGAAAATTGGGCAAAAGCGAACCAGAGATAGCGAACGAGCTAAACGAACTATCAGAGCTAAATAATCGTCCTCACGTTTTCCTTGAGATTCTATCTCTCAGAAAGCGCTTCCCATTGCGCAACCAGGCTTCATTTCCTGGTTCCATCGCAAGAAGATGCTACGAAGGAAAAAAATTCGCCTGACAATAACGCATGTTACGCGATCGTACGTGTTAGTCGAGCAACTCGCTTTACTAACAATTACGAGACCTGACGGAGCATATGCTTAGCGGTATAATAAAATGATTATTGTGTGAGATCGTTGGCAACCTCCCACGAGTATTTTGTTTGGTAAAAAAAAAAAAATAATCAACCTTCACGATTATTTCAGGTTATGTGCCCATCCAATTAAAACTTCCTTCGATCGGTTCGTCTTGGCTCTCGTATTGCTTTCCTGATTCGTCTTTCTCAAAGTTTCTCGATACGAAATCCTGACTAAGAATTGGACTTTGCGTGACATTGATCGCCGATTTCGTAACATTAAACAAGATACAGATCATAGATCAAATTCTGATAATTCATCAAAGATTCACGATTTTTATTTATTTTACACAGTATTGAGTGTAGACGAATCATTTTGAGAAATAAATTTTTTCTACTATCAAAACGGATTCATTGAAATTTCTATTTTTAGAATAATATTTTATATTTTTTAACTTAGATGATATGAAATTTTCTCTAATAATATTTTTCTATCAAAACTATTTAATTTATATATTTGACGAATGATTCTTAAGATTTTTTTTTAAAGGAAAATCGAAGATAACATGTATGCCATTGTCTACGCATCATTCGACTTCTTCTATTGCATCGCGAAAGTAGTTTGATCTATTGAAGAAATAAGAGAAGAAAAAATCAGGCTGCGAAAGTGGTGGAATGACAATGCCTTTGAAGCAATCTGTTTCAACCGAAACGCCATGAGTTAAACGATACACGAAGATGCCTACCATCGATAACACGTCAGAGAAAGTCGAACTATATCGGTTCTATGGAAATTTTATGCACGAGAGAGAAGTGTAACGGTGTTAGGATAGAAAATAAAATGACAAGATTCAACCGAGCAAGTAACGCATCCTTGTGCCAGATTCAAGTCTGTAACGACACATTTATAGCACGAGACCGATCGTACGATTTCGTAATTACGACACGGACCATGGTTTGCGTTTCGTTCCTGTCGAACACACTCGTTTCCTATCAAGGATCGACTTTCATGAAATTCAATTAAAAAAAAAAATGAAAGAGAAAAATTTATAGTAACAGATCTTTTGTGAGACAAAAGACTCGAAAGAGAACACAAGTAATTTCGTGAGATTTTCTGCGAATTAAAATACAACCAAGTTGCACCATTTCTCCAGTAATGAATGCATGCTTCCTACGCTTCTTCCAATTAGCCTTCTGATCCGTTCTTTCTAATGAAACTTGCCTCCAATCACGCAACATCCCGCGCTTTCATCAATTTCCCTCCACTGTTTATTTACATTCTAATGTTTTAATACTTTTTTCATCTATATCAAAATCTGTGAAATTTTCTTTTCTCTTTCTAAGAAATAGAAATAATTATTTTACATTATTTGCATGAATATTAAATGTATATATGTTTTAAAATATAGTTTTATATAAAATTAATTTTATATAAAGTAGATAATTAGATAATCTTTTACTTGTTTTCAGCTATCTTTGGATCTCCAGCGAATATCTTTCATGTATATCTCATAGAATTTTATTTTTCATCTTCTTCACTATTTTTTCAAATAATCATTAGAAATCCACATTTACATAACATTTAATCCGATCATAATTAATCTATTTAATTAGATTTACAAATTTTTGTTTTATGGATTTCAGAAAATTATTAATACTAGACTCATTGATTTATTTCATGTGTTTACATATACTATAGATGTGATATATAGATGAATTAAAATAACGTTACAAAAATAATTATATATATTTAATTAAATATTCGTTTCAATAAAAATTAATCTGCACAATCAATTTGACCGATTTGGTAACCCATTGAAACTTCTCTTTTATTATAAATCTTTCATTAAACGATTGATCAATGATCTCTTGCAGGTAAATTTCTCTTTCTTCTAAATCGAGATAAAATCAAAAAATAAAGAAGAAAGAAAGGGTCCATCCAGGTACATTTGAAATAAAACAGGAAATTCTCGCAATAATTTTTTCCAAAGTCAAGACGAAGTTCATCAGCCAAGATCTTGCCTGGAAAGAATTCAGTCTGTCGTCTGGAAAGTCTCTCAGAACTGGCCGCTTGTATAACTTCCACGTTCCAAGCCGCCCCAGAAGGCTTCGCGTTTATGCAACTTTACTCGAGGATTCGCGCACGCACAACACACTGTATCATCGTCGTGTGTGCTCCGGTGAAAGTTACGTCCACCGACAACGAAGCATCAGGCGACAATCCGTTGCCATTATCAAATCGGAAATTAACCGTTCGAGCATTGTTCACGGTTCCTCCAAATGGTACCGATCGTCTTAATTTTTAAACAGAATCAGATTGCATTTGTGAGAAATATCAATTGTTCTGTTTTTTTAATGGAAATAATATCGGGAAGAATACGGCTGCGTTCTCGATAAAAAGTGGAGCACTTCCCATTATTTTCTATTGGAAAATTACTCGAAGCTTACCAATAAGGTCTTTGTGCCATGGGAAAGATTTCTCTTGGAATCTCTTGATTGTATTATTATAGAAATGAAAATTGATCAATGTTCGAGTTTAAATTATCGAACGTCTGAATTAAATGTGATTCCATAGAAATAGATCTTATCTAATTTTCTTTTATTTAATTAGATTTATCGATGACCACTAAGAGTTAATCATCTATGAATGTTAAAATTTAAAGACGATGTATACATGATGACTAGGTATGGATTACATAAGAGAATAGCGGCGAGTGGATAATTCTTGTTTTCGCACGGAGTTACACACTCTGTCACAATACAAGAGGCCCGTAATTAAGATCTCGAGAGCGTTAATTGTACGAGATTTTCGATTTGTAAATCATATTCTCGCCATATCAATGAATTTATTTCGAAATAAATTCATATTTTTTTTTACATGTCTTCTTCCTACTACTAACGAAAGAAGACCTTGTCTGCAATATTAAGAAAATTAATCTTCTATCGATACACTAATCAGATCTTTAATTAACCAACCTTGTTTTCAGCTCGAATCGTTTGTATTTATAGATAGTTCTTGCTCAATTAATCGACCGAATTATCGATTTATTAATATTACGAACATTAAATGTTCGTCAGGATTGAGCTTTAAAAGTTTTTCTTATTGCAAGCATTTTTATATATTTTTTTCTACTGAAATAAATCTTTTAAATATATCGTAAATTTATAATAAATTCATAATTAATAATAAAAATAAATTAAATATAATAAATATAATAATAATAAAAATAATTAAAAATAGAAAATACCTATTTGAAATAAGATATTCGTTATATTATTTCAAATGTATCTAGATCTGGTATGATGTAAATGGTGCAACAGTTGACTCGACAGGATCTACATAAGAGGATAACGAGTCGCTCATAGCTGAGGGGGCACGGAGAGCATCGGTTTTTAGGATGATCACCGAAGAGACGGACGAATCGAGTTCGCTACATAGAGGATGCCTCCTCGAGCGCTCGCCTTTTGCTTTCACTTTCTCACGTGGCGAAGACTAGGAGAAATATCCCCTTCCCCCGTGACTTATAGAATCTTCGTGAATCCTCGAGCACGAGATCGTTGTTCTATCTTCGGTGTTCGCATATGCAATCGTTGCATATGCGACTATATAATTAGCTCTCAGGTAAATATTTATTCCTTAAAAGTCTGGAATTAAAATTAAAAATCGATTTCGATCAGAATGTACACAAGGGAAATAATTATTAGAACGTGTAATTCTCTTTTTTTTTTCTTTTTTTTTTAGAACACTTATCTTAGATTTAGACAGAATTTCGAAAACTGTTCAAGGTTTGATGATAGAGGGGATAAGAAACTACAAAACGATGTTTTCTTTCGAGGAGAAGCATAATTGCGACAATGTAATCGACGCCGAGATGCAGCCGCGAGATAACGGCAACGAAGCACACGAAAAGTATATTCAAAGAGAGAAGAATTTTTTCAGGTAAAATGCTGATACAAGTATTGTCTACGAGAACCTGTGTTATCCAAATTTCTTCATTTTCTAAGAAGTCAAAAATATCAAAAAGAAAGTGTTTCGTAATAACTTTCTCGGATCTGCCTCTGGAATAAGAACAATTAATTAATTAATTCGTTTTTAAGTGAAATTTCGCAATGGATATAAGGAAAAAAAATTTGTAAATACCAGTGTTGAGAATTTTCTCTCTCAAATGCATCGATTTGCGTAATCAATGGTCGTAGATCGGGAACGTAAAACATCAATTTGTCCAGTTCTCGTCGATTTATTATTATAGGGATAAACAACCGATTCTATCACTATGTATTAATATATATCAAGTATATGAATACATAATTCTTATTTTTAAATGTATCAAAAACGATACATGTCACACAATAATTTGATAAACATATAAAAAAATCTATCTCTTTGATTATTATAATCTGAAAATTTATTTATCAATATTGAAGAAAACAATATTATCTCATATTGAAAATTAAATATTAAAAAGTTGAAATGTTCTCGTGTGATTGCTTATTGTTATTTTATTAATTATATTTCAAAATACCTTTGAGTAAAAAATGCAAAAAATTTTTTTAACTTACTACCGTAAAATATAATATGAGATATTGACAAGATTCGAAAACAATGTAAAGTTAAATATAAAATCGATTAACTCCAGAGGGGAAATCGAGGAATTTATATCGAGAAATATGATCCTCGTGATGTAGATTGGTGCTCTAGTTCCTATTGCTTTCGCCACAATAATTTTCAACGCAATAAATCGTCAATTCGTGAGGAGGATTCGAGTACACGTGCTGGAGGACGTTCGAGATCTTCCAACCAGCTTTCACTAGCTCGATCCGAGTTAAAAGAGGAACGAAGGCAAATAGGAAAAACGGGAATTCATACACGCCAAGGCCGTACATCTAAACTTACTCTTTCTTTTCACTCTTTCACGTATCACTAAATCGAAAAGTACTCTCCTGTGTAGCAAAATTTCGTCACTAGAAAAAGAAAATATAAAAAATTAGCTTAAACTTTTTACGCACGAGAAAATAATATTACTAATATACATGTGTGTGCGTGCGTGCGTGCGTATGTGTCTGTGTGTGTGTGCGTGCGCGCGCGCGTGTGTGTACTATACAAATGGATGTTTAATTCGAAATTTCGGGATGTAAACAGAGATCAATGATCGAATATGATTCAAAGACACGAGTTCGTGAAAGTGTTAAGTTACTAAAGATAGTTGATGACTGGACGAAGAGGTGCACGCATCTGACGGAAGTCGAATATGTTCCTGCATACGCTTAGCACCTTTCTGTATCCGCTTGGGTAATGAGGAACATTCTCTCTTCTCCAAATCGCTATGCAAATCTGCGTAACATCATATAACTCTTGAAGGTGTAAAG